CGCCGTCCCCCTGGTGCGCCGCCTTCAGGTGCTCCCCCAGGAACGCGGCGCTGGGACAGAAGGTTCCGCAGAAGGGGCAGAGGCAGGCCTCGGCTTGGGCCCGTGGGCCTGGAGACACAGAGGGAGAGAGAGATGAGGGGGATGTTCGGGAAGAGCCAGCGCCAAGGTCTCTCTCTGGGAAGGACGGGAACGGAGCCGGAACCACAATTTAATTTCCGGTCCGCCCGCCCAGTCCAGAGTCACCAGCTGGGTGGGGGGAGGAGGAACGAGATGCTCGTCCCTCTGCGCCAGCCTGCCACCAGGGGGCGCTGTTAGCCCACGTGAACCCATCCCACCTGATAGCCCATGGGTGAATTCCTCACCGTGGGGAATCCCACCCATGGCTGGCTCGAACCCGTGACCCGAGACCCCAGCTTGTTTTGCTGGCGGAGGTCCCCCGGCCCGGGAGACCCAGTCCCCAGCTTTGGAGTGACATCAGAGCGACCAGGACCGGTTCTGGGGGCGATCTTCCCGGCTCGCGCCGTATGGACCTCGGCCCATTCCCCGGGACAGAGCTTGACCCCTGTCGCCGGCCCCTCACCTGGCCCGCCTCCCTCCAGACGCTCCACTCCCTCCGGAGCCCGGATGGGAACTCCGTCCCCCGCGGATCCGAGGGGCCCCCAGGTCTGCTCCGCGGGGCCGCCGGCGGGGGCTGGGGGGGCGTCGCCGGGGGGCCCCTCGTCCCCGGGATCACTGGGCGCCGGTCCCATGTCACTCTTGAACAGCTGCACACCTGGGGGTGACACACAGGGGGACTCCTTACACCCCTCGAAACACTGCACAGTGGGGTGTCAAACACGCCCCCTGCAGGGCAGCGCCAGGGGGTGCAGGTTCAGATCCGGGGTGCGCCCAGGCACCCCCGATGTTTCTGCTCACCTCCTACAGCAGTGCCTCCTCACTGCTCTGTCTGGCCTCGGGACCCCTAGCGAGCGTATCTGACTGCTAGTCAATACTGATCCCACGGATTGGCGGCTCATAACGGAATCTTAACAGTAATGAACCAGCGTCAGATCTGAAACACTGTCTGTGCGGGAATGTGCATTTATTCTAGAAATGGATCCAATCCTGACTTCGACAGTCACCTGGCTGCAGGTACCTAGCTGA